TGAATAAGATCATGTGATACTTGTCTTTCTCTTACTGGCTTATTTCACTTAGCATAATACTCTCCAAGTCACACCATGCTGTCTCAAAGGGTAAGAGATCCTTCTTTTTGTGGTTGCATAGTATTCCATGGTGTAAATGTCCGAGAAGATGCTTGATATGATTTCAATCTTCTTGAACTTGTAGAGACTTGTTTTGTGTCCTAACATGTGGTCTGTCTTTGAGAATGTCCCATGTGTACTTGAGGAGAATGCATATTCTGCAGCTTTGGGATAAAATGTTCTGTAAATGTCTATTGTCGATTAAATCCATTTGATCTAGTGTGTCATGTAGGATCACTGTTTCCTTGTTGATTTTTTGTCTGGAAGATCTATCCAGTAAAGTCAGTGGGGTGTTAAATTCCCCTACTATGACTGCATTGCTGTTGATCTCTCCCTTAAAGTCCTCAAGAAGTTTTTTAAAAAATATATTTAGACGTTCCTATATCAGGTGCATATATGTTTACCAGGGTTATATCCTCTTGTTGGATAGATCTCTTCAGCACTATGTGACTTTTGTTATCTCTTGTTACGGCCTTCAATTTGAAGTCTACTTTGTCTGATATGAGTGTTGCTACCCCAGCTTTTTTTTTTTTCATTTCTATTTGCATGGAAAATTTTTTTCCATCCCTTCACTCTCAGTCCAGACATACATTTCAACAGACATTTTTCTTCTGTTCTGTCTATGTTTTGTGGGTATTACAGAATAGCCTAGTCTTCACAGTACAGGCACTGCAAATCTCAGCACTGGGATTTCCGTGATGCTAAGTCATGCCGAAGTACTTAGAACAGGTCAGCTGCTCCCTTACTTTTCACCTCTCTTCTGTCCATTTAGGCAGGCAGTAAACAGTTCCTGAGCATTTCTTACATGCTAGGCAGCCATGGGCACTAGAAATACCAAGTAAGACATGGCCCTATCCTGAAAGGGCTTTCAGTCTAGTGGGGAGAACTTGATAGACGTAAATAAATGGACAGATAAGAAAAGCAATGACTCTTCCTGCTCTTAGGCAGTGGTACAGAAAGACAAAGCAAGCATAGGCAGAGGACTCAGCATGTGCAAACCCACGAAGCTGGGAGACAGCCTGGGAGAAGTATAGGAAGTTAAGTTTTGTGGGAGAAGGCAGAATGATAGAGAGATGAGGTTAGAGAAGGTTGGGGTGAGATTGTAATGGGCCTTGCTTGGCCCACATGAAAGTCCTAGGTAATGAGTTCCAGAGGATCTCAAATAAGGATAGAAAATAATCAGGTTTGTAGTTTACAAAGATCATTCTTTCACAGTGTGGTGGTTTGAGTCATCAAGAGGCCAGGTGAGCAGTTAGAATGCTGCTAAAACAATCCAGGAAAGAAATGAGGGCCCAAGGGAAAACTGTACAGGAGGAGATAGAGAGGGTGAATTGAGATTATTCAATAGGCAGAATGAAGAGGACTTGACCAATAGAATGGGGGTGGCGGTGAAGGATGACCTCAGAGTTTCTGCTTAGGTTTTCCAGTTGGGTGGTAGCACCCTTTCCCGAGGGAGAAAGTAGAGGAAGTGGGACAGGTCTGGGTCAAGTGCTGTGTAAATGTAGGGGATAATGGAGAAAAAGCTTCCTGACTTGATTCACAGCACACATCCACCCATCAGGCCTAGTGCGGACTTGGAGGCACAGATGAGGTCCTGATGAGTTAGTTTTGGACATGCTTGATCTGGGGAGCTTGTGTCCCATGCAAGTGGAAATATCCAGAAATCAAAGGGTGAGTGAGTTGGTAACTCAGGCTCTGGACTAGAGCTGTGTATCTGAAAGTCACTGGGCATGAATGACTCCCAGTAAGGGAGAGCAAGTCACAGAAAGAGACTGAGTTTAAGAATTGAAATTGAGAGAGACCATCTTTGGATGGGAATGGAAAGGGGAAGCTTCTGAAAGTTTGATTAGCAGAATTACAGAAATAACCTTCACTCTATTCAATGAATTACTAGGTGAGATCATTAAAAACTCCTTCCCTTGTTGATGTGTGTGTGTATCTATACCTATATCTGTATCTGTATCTATCTCTATCTATATCTCTTTTATTTTATTTGAAAAGCTAAGTCGAAAAACTTAGAAACTACTGTCTTTGGGAAATTAAGATAAAGGTGACGTGAAAATTAAGTCCACGAGAACCTGTTTTTTAGGTTCTGACTTCCATAAAACTTCAGGAACACATTTATTTCTCATAAAGCACAGGAAGCCTTTCAGGGCAGGAGTGGCTGAGGTTATGAATATGCTCATGTTGTGCACATTCATTTCATAATGTTGAGCGAAGGCTTAAGATTGCTTCTGTGTTTCAGGTAATTCAGAGGTCCATGGGGCCAGCCAGCCTGAGTCTGCTCACCTTCAAAGTCTATGCATCACAGAAAAAGGACTCACCTCAGAAAACTTCTGTGAAGGTTAATGAGGTAACATGCTGTTCATCTTGGGATGTATTTTGAGCATCCAATTTACTTACCATGGGAAGTATACAATTTGTGTATCAGGAAGATATGACATTTTAGAGGACGTTTAATAGGAGGAAATACATTTCCTTATAGTTTATTATTCTTTGTGAAGTTACTAACCTGGCTTTTTCAACAGATAAACTTTAATTAATGGTACTTGGCATAGGGCATAATATTTCCTAGATTTTTACTGGGGAATCTGCTGTGTACCAGTAGATTGTAAGCACAGTTCGGTTCTATGTGATCTGCCTGATTCAAGACTGCTTATCAAGCCAAGAAAACAAATTGATTTTTCCTCTCTCTTAAAAAAAAAAAAAAAAAATTAAAGACCTGGCCTCATTTTGCTTCTTCGCCAGATTAGAGGCTTATAAGTAGATGCTTAATGAATACTAAAGAAATAAAACAAGAAATCTTCTCTCCATTCACATCTTTTTTTTTTTTTTT